AAAAATCAAAATATTTTATAATACTTTTATTTATCAGCATTTTCCACTTTTTACAAAATATTTTCTAAAGCACGTCATCACCACAGCACTTACTGAAGGAGGCACCAGACAAAAGTTTAAAGTTAAAGATGTCGCTGGCATGCTGGACATTGCATTCACCACAATTTGTAATTTGCATTAACGTCTTAGTGTTAGATTCCTTAAATCTTTGGCAAGTTTGAAAAAATGAGTAAGATACACAGATTTGTTTTTAATTGTTTTTGTTTTCATAATTAATTCATTTCATTTGAAATATTTTTAGTGCCAAAAACATCCCATATTTACACAGTCTAAAGATGAATTAATTAATTTATGTATTTATTGTGCAAGTGCATACAAGAGGTAAGGTGGGATTACATGAGGAAGTATAATAACGAACAGCAACAGCACGTGTTTCCTTCAGGCTATTTCAGCCAGGTTTTACAGTTTGTTATTTCTGACCTGGTGCATGCATGATGATGACCTTTTGACCTCTTCTCCTTTCTCAGGTCTGGTTTAAGAACAGACGAGCCAAGTGTCGGCAGCAGCAGCAGAGCAGCAACAGTGCCAAGGTAAAACCACTGAAGAAGAAGTCATCTCCAACCAGAGAGAGCACTGGTTCAGAGAGCAGCGGTCAGTTCACTCCGCCGGTAGTGTCCAGCTCCTCCTCCACCTCTTCCTCTTCATCCGCCTCCTCTTCCTCATCTGTCTCCTCTGGTCTAAGTGGACCTGGTCTTATTAGCACATCTACCTCCATCACTGCTCCAGTGTCATCCATCTGGAGCCCGGCACCTATCTCGCCAGCACCAGCACCGGCCACTCTGCCTGACCCTGCCGCCCCTACCAGCGCGTCCTGCATGCAGCGCTCTGTGTCATCATCTGCGACAAGTGGAACGTCGTCCTATCCTGTTTCCTACAGCCAGACAGCAGCAGCGTACAGCCAGGGTTACCCGGCTTCAGCATCAGGTTCCTATTTTGGTGGTGTTGAGTGCGGCTCGTACTTGGCACCCATGCATTCCCACCACCACCCGCACCACCCTCACCAGCTCAGCCCAATGACTAGCAGCTCCATGTCAGGACACCCACATCATCACATTGGCCAGACG